CTCTACTCTACTCTGCTCTACTCTACTCTGCTCTACTCTGCTCTACAAAGTACATAAAACTTAAATCGATTAGTTACACAAAATTTACAGTTTACAACTTAATGACATTGTTGAAATGCTGCATTCATTGACTTTGCAAGGAGTACTGCTTGGTAGTTTAATTACTTAAAATAGATGTGTATTAAACCGCACTGTGGTAGATACATAAATTCAGTCATATAAATTCTCAACATAAGCATAATAAAAAGTGAGAATAAAGTTAAAACTAATTTCGTTACCGAAACCGCAGTATCTTCTTGGGTTTTTGTGTATTCGTGTTAATTTGCATCTTTAAGATACTCGTAAACTTGTGAGCATTTGCTTCTTGGAAACATAATATTTGGTATTTACACCTCATTGCAATTGCAGAAACTCATTTGCAATTAAAAATAATACAAATTTTATATTAACAGATCTTAATGTAGATGTGATTGCGAACGTGTCTGTATGAAGTTCTAAAGCATATGGCACGTTAAATTTATACCCTTTAGGGCACATCTGTGCTGTTTCGGTATGCAGTCGAACTTATTTCAAATTGGCACTACCAAAATTGCAAATGGTATCATATAAGAGTATTCCTAATTATCTTTACAGAAAATTAACTTGGACTACTTTTTAAGATTAAGTTACTATTAAGTATAAAAGCAATATGAAGGAATATGAACGATACAAACATTTGCATAGAAATTTAAATACTGAATATATTCTCACTGTAGTGTTTTTCAGGCAGAAGTGACTGCCATAAAGGAAGCTTTAGCTTGTCTAGAAGTAAATAATAATACACTTAAAAAGAGTATATACATACTATCGGATAGACAAGCTGCTTTAAAGTCCTTTAATTCAGTTCCATTTACATCTAAGACAGTCTTTGACTGTTACACTTCTTTAAATGAGATGTTGACGCCGTTTAATATTAATCTAAGCTACGTTCCCGATCATAGTGATGAAAGCCATGCGGAACACCTAAATAATCTGTGCATATCGTTGACATCAGGCAAACTGGTACTGAGTTCTTCTTATGCCGATATTTTTAATAAGAAATGGAAAGACTCAAGGATATGCATGCATCTATATGAAATTTGGTTTTGTTTCAATAAAAGAAAATCAAACTCTCTGATTGAGTTGCGCCGTAGAGATATCAGTCATGTATTTTAGGTAACCATGTTAAGAGACTAAATCTCCCTTTCAACTATACCTGTCGTAGTTGTGGTGAGCATAATGAAAGTGTCTGCCATCTGCATTGCTTTAACACTTCAGGAACTTTCTTTTTTGAGGCACTTTTATAGTACTTAGTTTTAGTTTTACCACGGCGCCTTAAAATTGATGATAAGGTTGGGTATGAGGTTGGATTTACCACTCTATTGAAAATTATGTTGTGATATATACTGATCAGAAGATCAGAAGATTTTATTGTGACAAAAATGTAAAATAGTGATTTTTGCGTTACGTTATTGTGTTTTATTTATTTATAATAAATTTAAATAATTTTTATAAAAAGCATGAATTTTTTATAAAATTTTGACAATCTCTTTTTAAGTCTGTATAGTTTCAAGCACTGTTTGAGTGATAAAATTAAATACAATTTTTTTTTCATAATATAACTTTATTTATTTTTTATTAGATAATATGAATACAAGACAAATAAATTTATCAAAATGTTTTTTTTTTTGTTTTGTGAAGTATCTGACATTCGTTAATGGTAATTAATTGTTTGCAATAACCTACCACACAATTTTGTCGGTTTAGTAAATTGCAATACATTTGTTGGCTACCACACATTTAAAGATGCAGGTAACGTATTTCTGATGAATTAAATACTATCACACAAACATACTTATAGACTTATATTGCATAGAACTAAGTAGAGAAAATGTAATATATACAATATGTATATAAAAAAAACATGTGATGGAATACTTAAGGGAATAAGTTTAATGTTGTGTCAAAAGCAGTTGTCTGGTCAAACAATTATAATTGAGTTAAATGACTTCTTTACATGTCCAAACACTAATAGACACGACTTATCATATCTTTTTTGTATAAGTATATTAATTTTAATACGGTCTACTAACTTTATTTATACATATAATATAACTTTTTTGGTTTAATTGGTTTTTTGACTCCAACTATCATAATAATAACATATCACATACAAAAGTTAAATATATAATTGATATATTTACATATATACATCTTGTATATCAAGTACATATATATTTCAACAAAGATTTTATTAAATACTTACTTCTTCAGTGCCTTTGTTCACAGCTCAGCTGTTGTTTGTTTACATTTTGCATATTAGTAAAACATATGACACATATTTCATATTATACAAATTTATTTTTCAGGGTTGTGCTCTACAACTTCCACCTTAAATACGTAAATTAAACGATTTTTGTATGGTAATCATCCACATTAAAAGCTATAATGAGTAAAACGGCCTAAATGACACAATGTGAATGTGCTATTAGATTATATGCATAAAAAAAATGAAGGTCATATATGCAAATACAGCTGTTTGACCAATTTGTTTAGTGGGGGTGACGATACCAAGGTCTGCTTACCATACACTGACCTCAAATGGCTCATTTCAAATGAGTCATTTGGAAAGTGTTTACATTCATTGTAATTCATTCGTTCTCATTTCAAACAGCTGATTTTTCAACTTGCCTGTTGATTTGATTTTTGGCCTGTGCCAAAAAAAATGTTGGATGAAGGTTAAATATACCTTTAAACCTTACAATAGAAACTGAAAATGTATTTTTAGCTTCGATTAATTTATTTTTGGGAGGTAGACGTTCCAAGAAGAGGTGCATCATATTCAAGAAAATGCAATCACCAAACATTTGTTTACCTTTTTTTTTTTGCCAATATGTCAAAAACGGCTTTCTCAAACTGTCAAAATGCGTTTGAAACATATTTAGAACTCATTCCAAACTCGTTGGAACTCATTTATTCAGAATGAAATCCAATGGATCTCATTTGCGCTTGAAATTTTGTATGCAAAAATGGGTCATCGGCTTCTCATTTTTGATTTTTGTCCAAAATGAGCCATTTGAGGCCAGTGTAAATGCCAAATTAGATCCCAAAGCTTTGTAGCTTCATCAATGGAAAGCGCTGCGATTTGGTTGCTGAAAATAAATTTATTTATTATTTAAAAATAATAATGTGTTCTTTTCTTCCAATAAGAAAATACAATTGGTATTATTTTTTGACCACAACATTCACATTCGAGATTCTAATACCATTTTGCTTTTCAATTTCATTCAAACATTTGAGCGAAACAAAACAAAGAAGATTAAGAAAGAAACTGAGAGTTATGTTAAAAATAGTATATAAAATTTTAAATGTTATTTACTTAAATAATATTAAAAATTTTCTGCAATGTGGTGAAAATATCACGCAGTACAAAAACAGAAACTCTAATGTTACGCAATGGTGCCATGATGATTTTCACCACCTGGTGCCCTACTACTCACCACAATGTCTAGTAATATAAAAACACTTTCTGAGAAATTTCGTTTGTTTTGGTTTTTTGACAATAAAAATTAATAAAATTAATATTTTTAATTCTACTGCGGTTGTGAGTTTTTATTATGTATAGACATTTATAATCATGTTAATTACATTTTAACAAATTCCAAAAAAAATTATATATGTGTTTTAAGTAAATATGGTACAATTATATTAATTAATTATAGAAATATATTGATATATATGGTTTTAAAACAAAATATTGAAACAATGTAACTTAAAACTCGGAATATATGTACATATACTAATTTATATAATAGATGCTAACTTTTCCTATAAATTTATATATTAAGCAACATATATATAAATACGTATATGTGCAATACAATAAAAAGAACTTTTATATAAATAAATACTAACAATTTTTTTAACTTTGTGAAAACACTTTCGTGACTAAGGCCGTGTGGGAGTTCGAGTAAATTGATGGTAAAATTGAAGGAAATACCAAAGTATGTCGGTATGGCAGTGCATGTTGGCATTTACCAGAATTTCGAATAGTGTAAACTAGATAAAAATTTGCTAAATTAAATGTTTCCATTGTAAAAATTTTATAAAATGTTTATTAAATAAATAAATAAAATTGAATACTTTTAACCAAAAATAATAAATAAGTGTATTAAATAAATAAATAAATATTTACATAAGTGCAGTGCAAAAAATCCCTAGGAAATTTCAATTTATTTTATCATGATTTACTCTTATTCCCGCATGACTTAATTATATATACATATTTTCATATACAAATTGACGTAAGTGTGATATAAAATATCATGCCTTGATTTACTCATTATAATGATATTAATATATACCATGGAATTTCCAATAACAATAATTTATACAAATTCTTTTAATTAGAAGAAAAGTCCAAATGCTAAATGCAACCACAAATGTAGTCAACATTTAGGGTATAAACCACACCGATTTTAATACTTGACAATTCTGGTATACCAAATATATAACAGAGATTTTTTTGCAATATTGCACAAAGAGCCACAACTATTCAAAATTTCTTCTCTGTTTCTTTTCTCTATCTTCTTTGCAATTGGGCATCGGTCGTAAAATATCAACTAACGCAGTGTTGCATTTTTTCTTTATATATATTACACATCTTACGTTAAAATTTTTTTTGGTAATATTTTCCAGTTTAATTTCTATAATGCTTTCATTATTTTCTATTAGAAACTTAATAATATCTTCTTTATCCTCGGCTTAGATATAAAACCCATTTTTTCACTGTCAGTGTCATTATCTTTCTTCTTTTGTATTGTGCTTCAACACAATAAACGTTCTTCAAGTTAAAAATTTATACAAAATAGCACCCGTTATCCAGTTTATTTATTTGCTTTTAGTGAGTTTCAAACTGTATTATCGATAAGAAATTGGCGCCATGTTTTCTTGGCATTGTTTCACGATTCGTACGACGAGGCACTGCGTTTTTAAGAAGCTACGGATCTACGATAATTCAAAGTCTGATTGGAACAATTACGTGATATATTCAACAGTATTTATAAATCCAATATTAAAATAGTAAGGAAGGCTTATATTCTAGACAATCTAGAACAATTCCAGATAAAATTACATTAAAAGTAAAAAGAAAAGTTAATTGTAATCGCGAAAAAAAAATTGTGTGAATATGGCAAATTTAATGGGAAGCAATGAAAGCATTGGGTCTATTCAATTCGGTGATCTAGACCTAGATTTTGATTTAGAACTAGATCTAGATCTAAATAAAGAAGTAGACAATAAAAGTGTTAATGTTGAAGTTGACACATTTGGTGATGCGCTGAATGACAGCGCAAATAAAACAACCGGCGTTGATTCAACCAAAGATTATATTGTCAATATGATACGCGGGCTAAACCCGGAAGATGACGAAGTTAATATGAATGAAAAAATAAAATATATTAAAAAACAATTTTGTAGTTTGGTTCAAAACAAGGAGCAATTGTTGTAAGTATAAAATATTTAAAAACTATATATAAGAATAATGTCTATATTTGGTTAGTGTGGATGTTATGAAAACAATAATTGATTGATCTGTCAAAGTTATAATAATAATTGCACACGACTGTGGCCCACCTTCCGCAACTAATTATAACCTCAAAATTTATATAAATGCAAACAAATTTTGAGGTTATTTTATTTTCAATAAATTACTGATATATTCTCAAATTTATGCTTTGCAAGACAAGTTAGCACAAAAAATCTTCTATGGACGCATTGACCCATGATAGTGCCACAATGTTCAATGATAGAGCACTGAGAGGCAATATGATATATGTAAGAAGGATATATGTACATGCCATTGTAAAGAAAAAAAATAAAATAAGTTATATTACATTTTATTTAATAAAAATAATTGATTTAACATTTGCTTTATAACTAAAATATCACAAAATATATATATATATATTTATATATATAAGTCATTTGCCTAAAGAGATATTCACATTTATAATATGTTGCCAAACGAGTGTTACCATTTTTTTTAAGATCGATATATTTGATGCTCTTATGTGTAGAGATGAAACATATAGTTTTTATAATTACTAATTTTATACTTCTACAGAATACTTCATTGAAATATGTCAAGTAAATAAAATATTATTTTATTTATAGGATTATGTTCAAACTATTAGTTTTGCAGATGACAAAGTCTGCTCACATCTAATAGTACTTTTAATACTTTATTCAAAATTGAATATTTTAACATGTCTTATAATTAAAGTTAAGTAAAAATACCTAACTATAAAATTTAGAAACACAATGACAAATAATGGTATATTTAGTATATATAGTATATTTTTATTTCAGTATATTTTTTAAAAACTGCTAGATAAAGAAAATGTTTAATTGACTTGAAATAAAATCTACTTTATATTTCCGTAAGAATCTTTACTAATAAGTGTTTATTTTAAAAATTTTTCTAGTGAAATGATGGCCTATATTAATACCAAAGCTCTAATAGACAAAATAGTCGCACTAAAATTTGGATTTCTATTTTCTTCTGAACTTTTTGATAGTCTGATTGTTGACGGAACCAATATTCGTAATGTCATGCTTCAAATTTTGGAAAAAAATTATATCAATTCCGACATATATAGAATTTATGATAGAAATCGCCTTTATAATTCCATTACATTATTGGGACAATACTATCATCACGTACGCCTGGTATATAATACTCCAATAGCGATACTGGGCATTTCTCTGTTACGGCTTATGACACGAGAAGTAAATGGACTAGATTATATCAATTTCGAATTAGCAAAAGTAATACGAGCACAGC